ACAATCGTAGGTACGTGTGTAAATGTGTGGTGATTAGTGACCGTTAATCGATATTTATTTAGAAATCGTGATATGCGGTCTGGTGTGATGTAGGTTTCAGAAAAACATTTTCTTTATCGTGCCAACGTTTCGGTCTTTATTGAGATCATCTTCAGGGCCTGGGATTTACAAACATTGTTTACATATAACAATTACATTTTGGATGTAGAAAAGTGAATTTATACAATGCAAAATATATTTTATATATTCAATCTGTGTAATTGTGTCATTCAGTGAATTCAGAATGACACAATTACATAGAAGAAAAACACTTTGAGTGAGTAGAAATACTTTGATTGAATATATATAAAAAATATATATTTTGCATTGTATAAATTCACTTTTCCACATCCAAAATGTAATTGTTATATGTAAACAATGTTTGTAAATCCCAGGCCCTGAAGATGATCTCAATTAAGACCGAAACGTTGGCACGATAAAGAAAATGTTTTTCTGAAACCTACATCACACCAGCCGCATCTCACGATTTCTAAATAAAAATCGTAGGTACTATGTATATACATTTGCTAAAACATTTTGGGTTCTTCCAGTTTATTATTCTTTTTATCTAAGGGTTTTGGCTGAGATGGATCCAAGATAGCCGTAGGTCGTGGGTTCGAATCCCGCTCGTGAAACTACTTTTTCATCTCAACCAAAAACCTTAGGTAAAAAGAATAATTAATTGGTATAATTAATATAGTTAATATGACCATTCAAGAAATATGGATTTTCGGTACTATACAAATCAGCTCTAAAATGTTGGGTCGCAGACTATTAATAGTGTTGGTTACTGGTGCTTTTCATTTTACTCGAATTGCCGTGGAATGTATTATATGCGTTAAGCAGGGTATATGGGATTAATATATCATCAAATTGTGAGTTTGGAAAGACGCAAGTTCTGATATTCTTTACGTCTGGTTAAATGTTCTGTTTGCATGTAGTGTTATCCAGAAGACAAATGAAAAATAAAATGCGCCAAGGTAAAACACACAATGAAAAACCTCTTCTCGGGCTAAGCTCTAGGATTGACTGTAAATATTCAAGGTGTATTGCCTTACAATAAAAATGAAAAAGTTCCTTCACATACAATTCAAAGTCTTCTGTACGCCTTTGGCAGAATAACGCAATTTAACAAGTATAACGCTCATTCTACCCAACTTGCGATAGCCCCGATTGCTTGTGGGGGTGAGATAAGTGAGCTTTTGCCCGGAGAGAGGGGAAGAAAGAACATGAAGAATGTGAAGGTCAATTAAGCGTGGTCTTGTAAAGAAAAGTCAGATCATTAGGAGGGTTCCGGAGGGTTGAGTTTCGGTCCCGCTCCATCGGCCACCGCTACAAATGGGCCGGTTATTGAAATAATTTGTAGCAAACAAACACCTCCCGGCCAGACTCGGATCCTCGGGATGCCCTTTACCTCGAAACAAAATTATATTTGGAAAAAATCTTATTCGATAGTATTTAATCCAATTGACTTTTTACGACTGTTTCGTTCGGAAGAAAATGATGCACACCCCTTCGATTAAAAAAAAAGTTACGGATTTTTGCCAACCTAGTGAAATTCCTTTCTCTTCTCTAATTTACAAGAAAACCTTTAAAAATTCATCATTTGACGTGCTGAAAGCGTTTTCGTTGCAATCCAAATGCACGGCAATTTAAAAAAAATATAAAAAAATGCGCACACACCTGCTGACACAAGTCGAGAGGAGTTGGATCTAAACATAGCATCGTGAGACTATGACGTCTCCAGTGCCTCTTTCTTTCCCACGCTATCAACATGTGGCAGCAAGAGCTACAGATAAACAAATGCAAATAAATCTTTAGATGCTGTACCCTCTTCATGTCGTTGTACACTTGTGATTCAGTAACCGTATATATATTCCGAGAATTCGCCCTCGAGCTGAAATTTCCACTAGTGTAATTTCAATATAAAGACACTGTTTAAATAAGTAGAACATTTTACTTCAAAATACGGTTGCAGCAGTTAGAACAACTGATATATTATTCGAAACTTGAAAGCAAACAGCCACCAATGTCATATCATTCGCTGTTATGTATGTTACGTCTGATATTCCTGACATATAACTGAGACAGCCATTTGACCACGAGGTCTTAATGCATAATGTTTCTATTTAATAATGATTATATTTAATTTATAAATAAATGAAAATTAAGTATAAAGAAATTATATAAAATTTGCCAATATTTTAAATTCGTTATACATAAATAGTGATTTTTTTGCCTTATGTGTACAAGTAGGATCTACAATTTTTGACAAGATGTATGCACGTACATAGTGGTAGTAGTACCCAAGATTTTATAACTTTTTGTATTAATAAAGTTCAAGATATTTGACTAAATTTACATAATACAGATGATTTTTGAAAGTAGTGAAGACATATTTTTACCTAGGATTTTTGACCAGGTCTGCTGTATGTATTAGGCTTATGGTTTTGGTCAGTTGTAAATGCATAGTACACAAGATTCTAGGTTTGATTTTTATGAGTGCCCATGAGGTACATACATAGTACATTTGATGTTTAGCCAGGTGAACATACAGGGTGAGTCATTTTTTGACGCAACATTGGAAAATCAACGTGGGTGCGTTTAAATCTGACTCGAGGCTTATTTTCTTTTATTTTAACATTAAAAAAAGGAAGTGAGTCAATTTTCGGTGCACCATAGGAAAATCAAGGTTGGTGCGTCTAATTATGACTCGGCACATTTTATTTTGTTAGTCTCGTACCAAAAAATACGCGAGTCACTTTTCGACGCACCATTCGTTAGTAAAAATTAAAAAAAAAATTCTTCACAAATTAATTTGATTAAGGTTTAAGTTTTTTTTCTGGTAAAGTAAACAATTAAATAAATGTAACAATCTCCTTTTTTCTGGTAAAGTAACAAAATTAAATAACTATAACAAACTCCTTTGTTAGCAAACCAACAATGTTCAAAATCATTACAATAATTGTTCGAACAGACCTCCATTTGCTGCAACGCAGTAGCCTAGTCTATCGTAAAACGATGATCGGACGAAAAAATACTCTTAAACCTTATTCAAATTAATTTGTGAAGAATTTTTTTTTAATTTTTACATTGTGTTTGAATAATATTGGTTTTGTTTATTTTCCTTCCAACCTACTAAAACTTAATTTTTAACGAATGATGCGTCGAAAAGTGACTCGCCTATTTTTTGGTACGAGACTAACAAAATAAAATGTGCCGAGTTAATTAGACGCACCCACGTTGATTTTCCAATGGTGCGTCAAAAAATGACTCACCCTGTATATGTATAGAACTCGGCAATTTTGGTCAGATATGTAATATATGTAATATAAGCTTTTAAGTCTGATGTATATAATCAATATATAAATTTTTTTTAACAAGGTTTGCATAGCACCCGAGCTTTTTGGTTTAATGGACAAAATAAGGACTGTAATGTATCAGAATTGGTAGGCTTCATTTGAAAAAATAAATTTGATATTTAACATTATGTGGCTATGATATTAAAAAAAAAATATTTAGACGAACAGCCTATCCGTGTAAAAAGCTATGGTGGGCTACCATTTAAAAAAATTTTTATAACCCTTTATATATATATATATATATAATGAGGTAAAAAATCCGGGGTACAGACGAGGTCTCCATTTAAATCGAAAAGGAAGGTTTATACATATGCAAATAAATATAAATAAAGTACAAATATATTGTGTATATATATATATATATATAATTTTTTTTTATATACAAATATGTTATATATACATATGAATGAATGGTGTATATTTTCATTAAAATACAATCATATTACAAAACATATTTATATATATAAAAAAATTAACTATAAAGTATAACATAAATACATATTTTTATCTCGACTAAAAGCCTTATTAACTAACACCTCAATTAATTAATTGTAGATATTAATTGGTCAAGCGGACCACGAAAACTAGTGAATTTAATAAGTTAAATGAAGTATATACTTCACTAAAGCTCTCCGTGGCCATTTCATTTGTCGCCGAGAATCAAATATATTACACAACATTTGAAAAGTGGCAAAAAGGGGGAAAATTCAAAAGGTGGGGTTTAGACGGGAAGTTAGTGTCCGAGTGGATCGAGGTCACGATAGCTCAAGTGGTAGAGCAGCGGCGTATCTAACCGAAGATTGTGGGTTCGAATTCCGTTCTTGACACTGACTTTTTATCTCAACTAAACACCTTAATTAATTGAAAGATAGTAGTTGGTCAAGTGGACCACTAAAATTAGTGAATTTAATAAAATATAACATTGAATTTTTTTCATAGCATCTAAGGCATGGTTAAAAAAAGAGAGAGAGAGGAGAGGGAGAGATATTGGTTAGATTGATAGATGTACCATAGAGGTAGATATGAGAGAGAGATATATATATAAATAAAGAGGTGGAGATAAGTAGATAGACAAATACATAGTTAAAAAATTTAGAAAAGAATATACAGTTCTGATCGTAATACGCCAATTTACAAAAGGAATAATACGTCCTGTAAGATGGAGAGAGATAGATAGTGAATGGGAGAGAGAGAGAGAGAGAGAGAGAGAGAGAGAGAGAGTGAGTGAGAGAGAGAGAGATGCAGAGAAAGAGTGAAAGAGAAACTGAGAGTGAGAGAGAAAGAGACATAGAGAAAGTGAAAAAAGTAGAAAGAGGGAGAGAGATTGAGAAAGAAAGAAAATGAGAAAGAGAGAGAGAGGGAGAAAGTTTATTTTCTTTCTAAATATTTATGTTCCAATAAACAAACAAATTCAAATTTTACTCTTGGGTTAAGTGATGCATAATTTACCTTTGCCTGAATATTCTATTGATTCTTCATGACTAAAATGTTCATTTTTTGCGTAAATATTAATTTTTAACGTTAATTCTATTTTCTTCTAAAAAGGCACTTTTCGTAGTGAGTGTTGCGGAAAATTAACGTTGTAAATTTATGTTTCAGGTCGACGAACCTCCCGAAGACAGCGTCACTCCCGTGGACGACTACATAAAAACTTCAGAGCCGGAGGAAGGTTTTAAAGGTAAGATTATCTTCCGTATCAATGAAAAAAAAAGCCTATTACACTATGTTAAAACCCAGTTTTGCCTCTTATTGACAATAAAATTATGCTGTTTATTAGACAGTTTTTATGATACATAGATTCCGATTTGGACGCCAAAAATCTATGTTGTATATTTGTCTTTGTCCAAGATGAGAAGGATAAGAACAGGAAATAAATATGACGTTTTTCAAAGGGTTTCTTGTACGTGGAGGTAGGAGGCAGGGTGTTTTTGAGTGGTACGATTTTGTGAGGCATTGCGGCATTTTTCCCGGAGGATATTTTCTATAATTTAACTATAATTTACTTATTTTCCATTAGCCGAAGTTCCTTCGGATTACTCTCCAGACGTCTGGCACGCAAATCTAACGTTTCAACAAAAACAGACTATCTACGAGACAGTACTAAAACCAATCTCGACCTAAGGACTAGAACTTAGATTATCGGAGCACCGATAACCCTTCTAACCCACAAAGAGTGTAATCCTCCTAAGTACCCAGAACCAGAGTCCTCTTTACTACGTCTCCATCATCACCTTTTACAACTACCTCAGAAAATATTTTGCACGTTGCGCAATAAACTTTCCTTTCACTCCATTTCATCTACTGATTCAGACGTACGTTGTAGAACTTCTAGTATCCAACGTTACATCAATTTTAAATGCTCCTTATTATTTTAAAATACTACCCCCCCACAGCGCCCTGAAAATCCAATTATCTGGAAAAATCTACCAATTTTATTGTAAACGTGTGTGGTGATTAGTGACCGTTAATCGATATTTATTTAGAAATCGTGAGATGCGGTCTGGTGTGATGTGGGTTTCAGAAAAAAACATTTTCTTTATCGTGCCAACGTTTCGATCTTTATTGAGATCATCTTCAGGGCCTGGGATTTACAAACATTGTTTACATATAACAATTACATTTAGGATGTGGAAAAGTGAATTTATACAATGCAAAATATATTTTTTATATATTCAATCAAAGTATTTAGTAGTGAGTAGAAATACTTTGATTGAATATATGAAAAATATAATTTGCATTGTATAAATTCACTTTTCCACTTCCAAAATGTAATTGTTATATGTAAACAATGTTTGTAAATCCCAGGCCCTGAAGATGATCTCAATAAAGACCGAAACGTTGGCACGATAAAGAAAATGTTTTTCTGAAACCTACATCACACCAGACCGCATCTCACGATTTCTAAATAAATTTATTGTAAACCCTATTGTCTATTATTCATTATTATCTTGTCAGATGTAGGACAGGGTTTTGATAGGGTCTGGCACCCGGGCATGTTTTATAAACTTAAACGCGTCCTACCAATTTATTATCTTACCCTCAAATCCTATGTAACCGCTGCTTGAGAGTGAGGTGCGGCGAGTTTTCGTAAATGACCGATACAAGCCGGCGTCTTACAAGGGCGTATTGTTGGTCCTATACTTATGCTGGACTAACTGTAAACCCCAGTACAATCATCATAACCTACGGTAGGTGATACCGTAATTTTGACTTCGAACTCGAAGACACACTACCTCCAACATCCAAGAACACGTTTAGCCTATAGAAGACTGGTGCAAAAAGTGATGGCAAGACTGAATGAAGAATAATGTACACATACTTGCTCTCCACTGTACATCAACAACAAAGAGATATCAAATTTCATTCAAGTCAAATATTTAGGAAAGTAGTAACTAGATAGCAGACTGACGTGGAATCTCACACAACGTGAAAGACAATAGAAGACATTTAAAAGACAACTACCATCACTAAACAAGAAAAAACAGACGTAACTCAAAATAGGCCACTTTCCCTGATGAATACTCACACCAATGCTTTAAAGCTGGATACAGAACTAAGATATCAATTATCAACTTTTGAAAACAGGCTATCACTTCGTTTCAAAATCACGTGGAGTCACGCAAGCACTCTCATGACGCGTGAAGAACGCGACCTTCCTCCCTAGCTTTGGTCTTAAACATCCACCCTACACAGGTATAACGATGGAAGCGAACAGTCATGGGCACACCTCATATTCCATTGCAAAAATTTTGAGCAACCACGAAGCCGACCCTTAAGGACAGTGACCCTTCAAGGAAGATCTTGGCCCCATCACCGTAGGAATTATTAAAGAATTTCACTGAAGATTTCCTTAACCTTATCACCAACACGGAAATTAATTTCATTTAATAAAAATAAAATAATAAAAAAAGTTAAAATCAGAAAATTCTTTTGAGCAGTTTATATCACAATTTAAATTAGCATATGGCACTTACTGACCAATGTTAATGTAGATTCACGACCATTGAATTGTACTCAACTGATTTGTTAAATGCGTGTTAAGTACATGCAGAAAAATAAACTCTCTTAGTACACAGATATTGGTTTAAGGAAAAAACGCCCAAATAGATTAAAAAACACTAAGTAATCAGGTTTTTATAATTTTTTGACTTGTACTACTATTCTTGTGGGTGTGCGATATGTGCAAATATATATAGGCTTACAAATAAATAAAAAATTCTACACGGCGTCTTAATGGCCACAGGAGACCTCTTTTCCGAAGAATAGTAATGGAGAGCATTGGGAAAATAATGTTGACTTTCTGTATCCTCTTCACTGTAGTCATAGAAGATAAGTAAAAAATTGTAATACAATTGAAATTTTGACAATAATGTAACATAAACGGCTGGAAATAATGGAAGTTTTTCAGTTCTAAAATAGACGGCTTGACGCATGCAGTAGACCATTAAGGCGCCTCGTGTCAGGTCGAACCTCCAATTCAAGACGATAAGGAAGAAAGGGGGGTAAAAACCTTAGATTTAGGCATAATTTTGTACTGAATCGCCTTTTTTCTCTCCAGAGGAAATTGTCCCTGGGCCATGAATGAATTCATTGTCGAAAGGTCCATTCATATGTCGGAGTGGGCGGAGGGCATCGGAAAAAAAACCCCTTAGGTAGCCAGAAGACACGAGCGTTAATGAGGTCTCTTCTTGTTTTTCTGATAATTACGCCGCCGGTATTAAGGAGATAGAAAGACCGACGGACGGATGTGGTTACGCATGAGCTACCTACGTACAAATGTCAAGCCCCTTGCTTAACAACACCTATCGCAAATCGCCTCCTCTTCCTCCGGCGAAATTGCAAAGGAGACGATGGAGAAAAAAATCTGTGGTGTAACGGAGCCGGCTAATCGATTGACACCCTAGGGCCTGGAATGACGTTGATGAGAACTAATCCGAAGCGTAAACAAAGCATGTCTTGCCCCTGATCCGGTGTACTTAGACGCTTGGGCGTTTTTCGGGAGGAAGCAATAACGGACAGGATTGGAATTTTTTTCCACCTCGTCAGATTTCTAATCCTCCGGATAACCGCTGAACAAGCATTTCAATTTTGCATTGAGAGTATCTAACGATAAGCTTCAAATCATAAAAACTTCGATGCTTTGATTGGCAGACAATATTTAAAAAAAATACAATGTAAACTTAGGAACAACAAATAAAGTGTACCAGTCCATTTCACACGACCTTTGCTCAGATTTCGCACATTTGTTGGAAACAGCATTACTTTAAACTGCTTTTCCCGAAAATCCTAAGATATATTGTACCCATTACAATACAGCTTTTAGCATTTAAAGGTTACTTGTGAATTGATCACGTGTCCGAACCATTCTTTGGAGATTCTCCCATATGTGATCGATTGGACCGGACTCCTTGCTGACCACCTAAGAAATATACGTGGTGTTCAAGTAGTCAGAAACATATGATGCCTTATGATGGGATAGCCAAAGAAAGACATAAAAGGCACAACATGACCCGTTGGATTGCCTCCTAAGAAATGTCGTCCTAGAGCTTGAAAGACCTTACTCCCAGCGTCTTGTTTCCACGTGCTTCGTTGTATGTATCGTTCTTTAAGAGCAACATCGCTAAAGGGACTTCATTTTTTCCTTCCATGTTTGCCATGCCCTTGCAGATCCCATTTTTTCTCTCCCTTTTTTCTCTTTCGCACATGATCTGCTTCTTACTGTATCTTCTCCCTCTTTCTCTTCTCTCTGTTCCTCTCTTTCTCTTTTTCTCACCTCTCTCTCTCTCTTTCTCTCTCTCTCCCTTCCTCTCTCTCTCTCTCTGTCTCTTTCTCTCTCTCTTACATTCTACATCCTTTTTTTACCCTCCCTCTCTCTCTCTCTTACATTCTACATCTTTTCTTACCTCTCTCATTCTCTTACATTATATATCTTTATCTCTCCTTTCTCTCTCTCTCCCTCCCTCTCCCTCTCCCCTCTCTCCCTCCCTCTCCCTCTCCCCTCTCTCCATCCTCTCTCTCTCCTTCTGTTATGATCTGTTCCTTTCTATGATCTTCTCGCTCTTCCTCTCTACCTTATTCTCACCTCACCTCTCTGTCTCTCTTTCTCTCTCTCTCTCTCTGTCTCTCTTTCTCTCTCTCCCTCTCCCTCCCTCCCTCTCCCTATACCTCTACATATATTTTCTTCTCTCACTCAGTCTTTTCTCTCTCTACCTTCCTAGCTCTATCTTTTCGTATGTGTTTCTCTCTCCTCTTTACCTTCCTACCTGAATCTTTTCGTATTTTTTTCTCTCTCTACCTCTCCCTATTCTTACTTTTTTCGTTTCTTTTCTTTCTCTTAGAGTCTCTACATCTCTACTCTCCCTATCTCTATATCTATATCTCTCCTCTACTGATATCTATGTATTACTATCTCTCCTCTGTATCTATACTTTTCTATACTACTTTTTTTCGTATCTTTTCTATCTCGATCTTTCTCTCTGGCACTCGGTTGTGGCTTTTTAATTGTTTAATTGCGCTTTCAGATCGCTTGCATTTTAATCGAACTGAAATTGATCGGCTCCAGTTATTCCCAATATATAGTATACCTAATGTCTCATGGAAGTGTTATTAAAATTAATTAATTTTTTTTGGGCGGGCAGTCTGCCCCGGCGCCACCGACCGACTCGTTTCAGATAGAGC